TGCCCCTGTTGGGGTCGTAGACCGGCAGCGAGACCTCCAGTATCCCTCTTTCGATCACGAAGTCCCTCAGCCGTGTTAGTGCCAACAGCACGTGTTCGGGGTCTATCGTCTTCCTTTCATTGACCCTTGTTACCAAAAAGCACAGGTATTTGAATGGAACTTGTGAAACTGAAGGAGGAAGCGCAGCCATTCCTCCCAACCCTGGTCTCTGCTTAAATAGAATCTCCACATTCTGATATTCTCTCTTGAAGTCCGCCTCTAGTCTCGAGTTGAGGCTCATGTCTGCCGTTATGCAGATCGCACTTGTCCTATCAGACAAAATGAACTCGCTGTCCGTGATCAGGATGTTCTCTAAGTATTCATTGGGTATTTCGAACTTTGTCGTGAAATTTCTCCCTATAGTAGGCTCAGCTTTCTCCTGATCCAATTCCAACCCGTTGGTCTCTCTCACTTGCCTGAGCTTCTTTATCATCAAACTTTTGGTGTGGGTAAGTTCTACCCCCACTCCCGGACAAAAATATTTATCGACGTCCCCGTCGATGATGCTGAGTCTAAATTATCTGGTGGTATCTCAAGTGGCCGATCGGTAGCTGTCCTACGGAAGAGCGGATCTTTCGTCTTTACATGTTTTTCCGCTGACTTATCGACCTGCTGGATACTTTGCGCCTCTTCTCCCTTGTTCTTGAGGTAACGCATCCATTCCAGTATCCAGAAGTTTGTGTTTTCCTTCCTTTATATCTCGTTTTGCTCCAGGTCTATCTCTCGTTCTGTAATCGAGTGATCCTCCTGCAAAGAGTGTTCGCTGTCGTTGATGATTTACCATTCTTCATTTGCTAACAGCTCACCCACATTCACTAACTCCTCGCCTATCTCCTCGGGTTGTATCTTGTCAATCAAGAAGTCATCACCATAACTGTTGTATCTCATGCCTGTCCGCTTGCGATTGCCATTTCTTGTCCCTGCTGTGTTCGACAAGTCTGGTTCCGTCCATTTTTGCACCTAGTTCTGCTCTGGATCATTCCAATCTTCCTCCGCAAAAGATCCCGCATCTGAATCTGCATCTATTTTCTCTTATCATCCATGCTCACGTCCTCGTTTCCGTCATTCTTCTCTCTAGTGCCTTTTTCGTTCACTTCACATGCTGGTTCTACCAATAGGTACTCGATTCCTTCCATATTCTGTGGTACACACCAGTCTTCCGGAGATGGGGCATGAGGTTTCAGATTTTCATAGTGCGCTGCACGCCCTGTACTCAAGCGGTAGAACCGTCCCTGCTGGTGTACCTCCGTTATCATGAACGGTCCTCGCCATTTCTTTACTAATTTTTTCATGCCCTTCGGAGGTATGATATTCTGGAACACCCAGACATATTGTCCCACTACATACGGTTTTGCCTGAAATATTTTTTCATCGTACTTCTTCCGCTGTTCCATTTGCGCCGTGTTCCTCCTGCAGAGCTCGTTCAGTTCCTGTTGTCTCTTGACAGCTTCTTTCACATACGCCTGAGGCGAAGTCTTTTTCACTTCGTATTCTGGATAGAGGAATGTTAGGGGCATCGCTCTCTCCCTGCCAGTTAACATCATGAAAGTCTTGATTCCTGTTGTTGAGTGTTGCGTGCTGTTGTACGCCCCTACCACTTGCGGCAGATACTTATCCCAGTCTGTCTTGTATCCCGAGCAAAACACCATGAGCATGTTCACCAGCGTTCTGTTCTGCCTCTCCACTAATCCGTTAGTCTGAGGATGGTAAGTTGTTGAGTGTGCTTGAGCAATGTGCGATCTCCTCATCAACTCTTTTGTCAGGTCTCCCATGAAAGCTTTCCCGTTGTCTGATTGGAATATCATCGGACAATCATATCGCGATATCCAAAGCATTATAAAATGGTCTAAAATCTTCTCCGTTGAGGCTGTTTGACATGGCACCGCCTCTGCCAATTTCGTAAAGTGGTCTATTACGACCAGTATCTGAGTATATCCCGAATCAGTCATGCAGATCTTCTGATGGTCTTTCTGCACAACCTCGTTAACTCCCGAGCTCTTTACGGACTTGTGCTGGAACTTCACTTTTCTAGGCTCTTTCACTTGTAAACACGCCAGGCATGCGTTCACCCATCTCTCGCAAGCCATTGTTAACCCTGGCCAATCAAACTTGTGTAGTATTCTTTGTTGTACCTTGTCTATCCCCTGATGTCCCATTTGGTCGTTCGTCTGGTATAACTGTGGCAGTATGATGAGGTTCTGCTTGTGTAATATCTTCTTCTCATCTTTTCTTCTACAGGCTACCACAACATCAGCTGTGTGATAGAGTAAATCTCTTCTCTCCTTGTAGAACTAGCTCAAGATCTTGTAACTGTCTTCCTCCAGATCCCCTTTCTCTTTGACTTCTGTCCGGATCCATTTGGAGAGATTGCTCGTCATCTTGTCATTCTTCTGGGCTCGTATCAGATCCGACAGTCTATATCTCGCTCTGACGTGTTCCTTCAAGGCCATCATCTGACCACTCAGTTCTCCAGGACTGTGGATGTCGACTTTTAACTTGACGCAGACTATCCTTCTCAGGACCTCCCTGTCTTCATCTGGCACCAGGTTTGTTCTGACATTTGATTTGCATGAAAGCTCCCTGAACGGTTTCCTTGATACTGCAATTTTCTCAAGCTGTTCTCCTCCGTCCACCTCCTAATGATTTTGATTTTACGTTCCCGAGGAAGGGTCGGTTTGTAGTTCTCTGTCGCGGTGCGGTTTGTAGTTTCTCTTCTGCCAATATCATACAGAGACTGCCTTGGTCATCGCCACTCTTCTGTGAACCTTCATCCCAATCTTCGGACTTCCGGACAATTTCTCTTCTTCAGCATCTTCTTCTGATGTGGGCCACTCCCCGGACTCTTGACCTAATCCAAGGTGTTCGGCCTCCTCCCTGAATGACACTTTCTTCTTTCGAACTGTAATCGGCCTTAGTATCTCCGGGATTTTGACTGCACGACTTCATTGTCATCAGGTTGCTTTTCTTCCAACGAGTCCTCGCCAAAAGCTGCATCATTTCTTCTCAGTATTGTGACTTCTGGTTCGTCTTTGTCATTGTTCCGGACTACGGATTTATCTTCTTCTAGATTCTCGAGTAATCTCCTCAAGTCCTCACCTATCTTCGCCCTTCCCGTCTCTACTTGATTGAGATCTTAGCCTTTAGGCGTTAGTGTTTCCCTCGGTTTTTCTTCAAACTTGTTTTCTCTGGACGCTCCTCTGGTAGCTCGGGATGATCCTCTATAGGTTTACCTAACTTGCCGAGCCCCCTCGTGAGTGGAAGGCTATCGTACGTTTCCTTGTCCATAAAAAAGAAGCCATCTTTGGTTTCTGGCCTATCCGCCTCCCTTTGTTCCTGTCTCTCGTAGATTTCCGTCTTCTTACTCTAGCTATCGGCATTTTGATGTTTGTTCCTTGTTCTGTGTTCAATGATCATATTGTAGCAATCCAAGCAAACTATCCATCTCAAAATGTAGCTCTGATCCATTGAGTACGTTTTCAACCATCTGAGTGCTCTATTGTCGAGCCGTAACTTGAATGTTTCGCTACCTAGGTACCCTGTATTTCTCTACAAAGGTGACCACCGCAAACATTTCTGCCTAGGGTGCCGCGTACTTCATCTCTGTATCACTCAAGACGTTGCTCCCGTATGCTATCGGTCTCAAAACTGTCTTCCCGTTCCATTTCTGCTCGTGACGGAGTATGCCAGAGATCTCATTCAATCTCTGCTTCTCTATCTCCTGCTTCAGTCGTTGCTTGATTTCTTTTGTCGCCAAGTTAAGCTTCACTTTGTTAATTGCCTCTGCAGCTGCTTTCTCATAGTTTATCTCCAGTGAATTCCCAGTCTCAGCCTTCATGGCAGTTTTGACTTGCGTTACAGCTTTCATCGTTTTTGTCGATAATTCCCCACTCGCTGCCTCCGTGTTCTTCAAGTCAATTTCGGCTTGTCTGCTCCTCGTATTTTGCACCGCAGCCAGTGCTAACTTGTGTTTGGGATAATTTTGATTCTCTACCGCCTCCCAAAACAACGGACAGTCCATCCTGATATGGCCCTCTTGATTACAGAAGAATTGCCTTGCACCTATCTTGATAATTAAGCCACTACAAAACTCATGTTCCTCCATTTGGCTCAAATTTTCTTCATCCGGTGCGTCTCCCAGACTTTTCATGCCTTAATTGTATGTCGTGCATGACCGACGTTTATCCATGTCATCTCTAGGCTTGTACCATGACGACCCTTGTGCTTGGCTTCCCCTTGCATATTACTGCCTTCTGAGTATGGGAACTTTTTTGGTTTCATCAGCATATACTCCCTAGACTTTTGTCTCATCTGTTTTGGGGTTGGTGCATTATCCTTTGATAGTGTATAATGTGTCGCCACCATTGTTCTCAAGTCGTCACTTTTACCCCGTCGATAAACTTCGAGGCGATGCTGAAAAATCTTCTGTTTGTAGATTCTTCCGGATCATTCGTTGTTCTCAAGCTCTCAAGATCATGCAGGAACCAATCTCGGTTGACTCATCGTCCCTTTGTCTTTTTTTTCAAATCTCATCATAGCCTGGTGGCCCTTCATTCCTGATCCGAATCGGTTCAACAGTATTTCGAAGATCTTGTCTGCCGTATCACGCTCCTCTTCTTTCTCGGCTACTACGCATTTTAACGCTGTGCCCTCCAGATTGCTCAATTTTGCTGTGCAGGCCTGAGTTTCGTCATTCAAGTTATCTTTTTCTAAATATAGTCTCATGACTTCTACCCATGTGTCAATGCAGCTATTCGATTCATCTTTAAACTCTTTGGGTTTCTTGAGGGTCTTCCTGGATTTACCACTTCTTCTTTCACTCGAGTCAGTGTTCCTTGTCGCGAACGCTTCCAGTGTCCTGTTCATCATTTCCCAGGTGCTTGCCCATGTCATGGCGTCAGGGGCTACATTAGTGTTCGTGCTGGAGTCCCCTGGTACATTTGTCGAGTTTGAGGTTCCACTCTTCATGATGGTCTTGGACCCCCTGTCCCTATACTCGCTGCACTTCGGGGTAACGGTGTAGACTCCCTTTTATTCCGCTGTGGTTCTATAAAGTCGACTCTGGTGCCTTGTGTTTTGTCTGTTGCCAGTTTATCCTGTGCTATAGAGTTTCTCAAGAGAGCATCCAGTTTGGACTGTATGGCACAAGACCTTTCCGCTTGGTCCTTGCTCAATGTATCCATTCTGGTCTCAAGGTTCCACAATTTGTCATTCACAGTGTCGTACCGTTTCTTTATTTCTTCCATATCTTTTTTGATATGTTTCTCTCGCTCTTTGTCAGTAGTCTCTACTTTGTCCGACATCTGCTGTAGCTTATCCTCCGTGGCCCTTGCCAAGCAGTAGTAGTTATCCTGGTTCTCGTTCTTGTTGTGTGTTTTTTCCTTCTTTAATTCTTGGCGGTCCTCTTCACTGCACTTCAACTTTTTGTCTATCTCATTCAACTTTGTCATCAATTCCCCCAGCTCCACCGAGGTTGTTCTTGTTTTCTTAGTTCGTTCGTCTGGGCTAACTGCTGCTACTTGCGAGGCTTCTCCCATTTCCTTCCTGGTTTCCGTCGTTATCGTAGAAACCGTCTCAAAGGGTTTGCTCTTCTCGTTTGCAGTTGTTGCCTGTTCAACTCTTGGTTTCATTCCAACCATCGCAACAATCGTCTCAGTGAACGACGTTTTCTTCGTTTGTGCGTCGTTTTTTATCGTCTCTGTTGTGTTGGTTGCCTCTTCTCGATTTCTATTGGTCAGAACTCTATGGTGTTCTTTTCTTGTTCCACTGTGTTTGGCATCGGAGTTGATTCCATTGTCTTGCGTTCTATCCCGTTTATGCTCTGATCTGGTGTCTCTAGATATATGTCTTTTGCCGGTACGCTTTGTTCTTCCAACGTCTTCTCTTTCGCCTTCTGCTCCTTGTCTCTTCTTGTGCTGACCATGATCACTGAAAACTTTTTTCTCATTTCTCTCGGATTCGTTGGTGTCGGTTTCTTTTGCATTGAGGTATGGCTCTGCTTAGGTCCTGTTCCTTTTCTTTCAGTTAGTGATACTCTGGTTTTCTTCATTATTTTTAATTACATTTTTTCTTTTCTACAATTCTAATTTGTACAAGTTCCTATTCTGAAATTTAAAAAGTAAAAAATATTCCTAATTCTTGTAAGAAAAATAAAACATTCGAGTTCGCAATCTCAATAGTGTGGACTTTTAGCTGTTTTTGATCGTTCTGATTGGGCCCTGGGGCCTTTATTCAAGTGTTGGGACCTTTCAAACTATCCCAGGACGTCTTCTAACCCTCCTAGGACACTACGCTCAAGTGTTGGGACACCTCGCACCGTCCCAAGAACTCTCTGCTCAATTGTTGGGACGCTTCACATTGCCCCCAGAATTTTGTCCAAGTGTTGGGACACCTCGTAATGTCCCAAGAACCCTGCTCAACTGTTGGAATACTTCAAACATTCCCGAGACTTTTCTTTTCTAGTGTTGGGACACTTCGCACTGTCACAAGACCTCCTGCTCTAGTGTTGGGACACTTCGCACCGTCCCACGACCTTTTCTTCTTAGTGTTGGGACATTTCGTGCTGTCCCAAGACTACCTACTCAAGTTTTGGGACACTTCGCACTGTTCCAAGAACTCCTGCTCAAGTGTTGGAACACTTCGCACTGTCACAAGACCCTCCGTCCAAGTGTTGGGACACTTCGTGCTGTCTCAAGACTACCTGCTCAAGTGTTGGGACACTTCGCACTGTCCCAAGACCCCCCACTCAAGTGTTGGGACACTTCGCACTGTCCCAAGACCCTCCGTCCAAGTGTTGGGACACTTCGTGCTGGCCCGAGACTACCTGCTCAAGTGTTGGCACAGGTTGCACTCTCCCAAGACCCCCACTCAAAGGTTGGGAAACTTCGCACAGTCCCATGACCCTTGGTCCAAGTGTTGGTACGTGCTGTCCCAAGACTACCTGCTTAAGTGTTGGGACACTTCGCACTGTCTCAAGACCCTCTGTCCAAGTGTTGGGACACTTCGTGCTGTCCCAAGACTACCTGTTCAAGTGTTGGGACACTTCGCACTGTCCCAAGACCCTTCGTCCAAGTGTTGGGACACTTAGTGCTGTCCTAAGACTACCTACTCAAGTGTTGGCACAGTCGGATCTCTTCTTCTTTGGGACAGTCGGATCTCTTTTTCTTCGGTGTTCGGACAGTCGGATCTATTGTTCTTTAGCGTTGGGACACTTAGATCATTATCCCTGTTACCACCACTTGAGCTTTAGTATTAAAAAATTTCCCCAAAACCCAATCCTACTCACCAAAAATTTTACTTACAAGCCCCCTTGAAGTTACTTCTCTATTAATCAAATGCAAATTGAAACACCTAGTCCCGATGAAGTCTTAATGATCCGATGCAAGTCTTATGATCACCTTTTCGTCAAAAGCCGATAAAATTAGATCCGAAAACGTAAAAAAAAAGTAAGCGAGAAAAAAATGAAGAAAACAGAAAGATGAGTACAAAAAAAATAAAACGTGACCATTGTCGTCTTTTTGTGAAAAAAAGTGTCTGGTACCTGACTGTCACGCGTTTTTCTCCCCCCCCCCCCCTACTAACGATTTTATTGGGTATTGTCCTTTCGGGTTCGAAAAACTATCTATTTTCGATCCCCCACCCGATCCGACCAAGTTACCTACTTTAATTCGATCTTAAATTTGGATATCCTCGCGTTGCTACTCTTTTTCTGGGTCTAAATATGAATCGTTCCAGACTCTGGGTCTACTAATGTAACTAAATCGACGATATCGATTGTATTGTTACTATAATGTGTCCCCCTTTTTACAAATTGCAACCGCCAACCTCTATCTTAACCAGCCCCCCTTCCAACCTCCCCCCTGTCTAGCCCTCCACTTAAGCCGAAAAATACCCTTAGCGCGATGGATACTAAACCTCTCGAGAGAAAACCGTAGAACCTGTTTCCAAGCTCTGCTCATGTAAAAACGTTTCTTCAAAACGGTGGGTATTCGCTTATCCCATTTTACACCTATTTCATAAATTGTAAAGTGGATTTTAATGATACCCGTTTGACCAAACAGGAATCTCCACTTACCTTCTTCCGTTTGTCCTGTTGCGTTTTGATCACACTGCCGACTGGTCACCTGCCTGTTGGTCACACTTTCCCTCTGGACTTGTCACCTCTTCCAGTTAAGTCTCCCAGTGGTGGAACATTCTTTGGTCCACTTTTCCACTTCGCTGGGCACCTCTTCCGGTCAAGTTTCCCAGTGTTCCGCTGATATCACAAGCTATCTGAAAGCCCCACACTCGGGCACCTGTACAACTTTGCTAATTTGATCGAGAGGATTGGTCCTATTGGAAAACAGTATGAGTATACTATTTTAATTAATATAAAGGTTTGATCCAACCAACCTGGAAGTCAAAGCCACTGACCTTATTGTTTTATGGTTTTTTGTTCCTATTTCTAATCTTTTTTGGTTTTTTGTTTCGCTTTTTCTCTTTTACTCTTTTTTGTCACCCTAGTGACCCCCCTTACTCGGTTAGCTAGGCCTCGTATCAGAAAACGCACCGGGAAATTTTCTCAAGTTTTCTTAAAAAGCTAACGCTGTACAACCAAAAGGTGAATACGCTCCCGTTGAGCCGCACTACCGGTACTCTAGAATGGGCATGTAGCCCGGAGCTGTGTCAAGTGGGTTTGATCCCGTAGTCATGATGTCGTAAAAACACCCAGGAGCGCCATAAAACACTCTGTAACAGTCGCCTACTAAAGTCACATATGAGGTTAAAGAAAAATTGGCCCAATAATTATTGGCTCAAGAGTCAGGGACACTATCTCTTGTGTTTTTTTACCTCAAGCAGCGGTCGGAGCCAATTCGGTTCACTTGCGACATGAGACTAAACCCTTTGTTACAGCTTAAAGGCCACTAACAAAATACCCCCCGTGCTAGAAAATATGAACGTCCCCATACTTAGGTCTCAAAATACCCAAAACACGCAAACGCCGATGAAAACAGGGTCGAAACCTTACGTATAGTTACTTTTTACTAGACAGTGGACCTTTGATCCATTTCAGATGGATCAACCTAAAACTCTCCTTACCTCAACATAACAAAATGAAACATCAAGAAAATTAAAATGGGTACTCACATACCGGCACACTCTCTAGGATTGAGTAACTAAATTATTAAGTAACTTGAGAATACATGGGGTTATCAAGTCTAACGTGAGGTGTTTTAAGTGAATAAGTTTTGACTCGAGAAGTAAATTTTTGGGGCTGGACCATTGGGCAACTTCAGTTGTCCACCTTTCCACCGAATGTTCACTCTGGTCCACTTTTTATTCGCTTTCTTCTCTACTTGCGATCACTCTGCCTTCTTTTAAGAATAAAACAGCTCTACTCTCGAACGATTTTATGTCTGGAAATTGCGAACAGCAATTTCCCGCTGCTTTTCAACTACCTTCAGTTCTTCTGATTGTAGTTCGGTTCTTCTGACCTTATTTTTCTGATATTTTCAGTTTTCGTGAGAAACTTGAGCCTGACATGCTCGATTCGAATTTTTGAAAAATTCCATTTCACCCCAAAATCATGTCTTTTGCGTTGCTCAAGTTCAAACTTCCAAATATGACCGACTGGCACAATGTTTTTTTTGTTTTTGTGTAACCTTCGATTAAACAACTTCCAAATTTGACTTTTTCATAAGTTGGCAGCTATTTATTTTTGATTTTCCAGTCAAAAAACGTTGAAACTGGAATTATATTATGTTTCAGTTTCAAGTTGAAAGATGAGTCATATTTTGCGCGATTGCATTATGATTCATAGCCCAACTTACTTAATTTTCGAGTAATATGATTTGTTTTATTGTTTCGAGAGGTATGATTCCCCTCTTTAATTGTCATCTATTGTAATTTAGTGTTTTTCTTCACTATTCCCTGAAGATTTTCGACTGAAAACAATTATTTTAGACTTTTTTTGATTTCAGTTTAAGAGAGTGTGATTTGAAATATTCTGATTCAATTTCGAAACCTTCTTCCAGCTAATGTAAGGCAAAACTTACATCGTGGTGTTCACAAAAATTAAGCTTATCGTCGGTGCATAGCACAACTTCACACGAACTGGACATTTTCTATTTGAGATCAATTATTTACAGATTGAAAAATTGAGGTTGCAGTACAGTTCCCTGTGGAACCTCATGATCTTGTGAGATCCATTTCGATTCGATGTTCTTTAATTTTTTTTTCGTTGTCGGTTGCTGATGAATACGTTTAACTCTGTTATAGCGCTTTTAAAAAGCATTAACTTACTTGGTTTTTTGTTGAAGAAATCTATGATTAATAAAATCGAACGCATTTGATAGATCTAGTAATGAGCAAGCAACTTATTTGTTGTTGTCAAATGCTTTTCTTGATGATGCGTTACAGTATAAGATTTAAGTTGAATAAGACTTATAGATAGTTAAATGAGACAACATTTGAATACGACGTACGAAGCCCAAATTGAGTAAAACATAGGAGGTTGTTTGATTGTAGATACTCTTGTAACTGTTTTTACAAAAGTTTTTCAAAAGTGTTTAGGTACTCCGGTTATTGAAATAGTCCTGATGTTTTCTGGGTCTACTGCAACGTCTTTTTTATAAGTTGGCGTCACAAATGCTTTTTTGAT